TTTCATTCGAAATTAAGTTTTTTCCGATTTTAAGATTTTTATATTTATAAAGATCATATTACAGTATTTCTGTGAAAAAATAAACGACTAACTGCATACATTTGATTTGGTTAAATAGACGTTTTATTGAAAAATAAATTGCAATAAATCTCTCATTGATTTTTCACAAAACTTTGAAGGTTTAAATCAACAAACACTTTTGCCCATAAAACGAAATATTTGTTCATTAATCAAATTAGTCTCTTACTGACATTCATTTGCCTTTACAATTTATTCTCTATTGCAAATTTGATAAACTGCATTAATTATTGCACGAAAATTCTTGGGTGCTGTCCAAATATTGCAACATTTGGTATTTTTTTTATGCTTGAAACTACTTCAATTACATAAATGTAACATAGGTAGATATGTTACATAATTTCCAGTTTTCGATTTTCTAACACACCATTGACTTAATTTACGCTAACAAAAAGTTAAATACTTTACGTTCATTCAAAACCATCCTAATTCACTATTCATTTTTAAATTACTCGGTGATGAACATTAATTAATATCATCAAGTTGTGCTAAAGAAAATTTGCGCTTTGCGCCTACAGTGTATGTTTCGGTAATCATATTAATTAATTATCTCATCGAAATTGGATCCTCAATACCCGAGGGTAAAGTTTAGTTGATACATTTCCAGACTTTTATTATACCTGGTGTAATAATGACCTGCCGTTTAGAAGCCAGTCCTGTTTTCAGATGTCATTCGGGAATACTTTGAGCCTATAAAGGGAGTTATTGCAAGAATAAATCTACACTGCTGGAAACGCGAAAGCCATTCCGATTTTGGAAATCGTGATATGAAAAATTGATTAGTGGCAATACGCATAAGTAATATAATAAAATGTAGTAAAAGAAATTGGCGTTGTCATACATAGAATATAATATACATCATTAAAGCTATTAGAGATTCGGAAGCAGTCAACACATGTGTTACATATCAAATTAAACATATCACCATTCCGCTGCGTTAAACAAACATGTGCACGATTGCCAATGGTACCGTTCACGTGTGCGTGACTGAAATGTGCGTCGTGACCATACATACATCTCGTAAGCTTTATAGCGTTATAAGTTAGACTTCCAGCAGATGAGATGTCCAAATGAATCAAATGTAAGGTTTATATAAGCATATGTACACAAATTTCAAAAACTTATTTGAAAAAGTTTATCATACTAAGCCAGAACATTCGGCAGTGGTAAATCTGGAAGGGCATCTCACAGGTAAGCGCTTTCACTCTCGGTGCAGTGCACAGTATCTCTATAAAATTTTGATGGCACACCCATGAGAATCGAACTACCTAATCAGAAAATATCGACCATCTCATGCACTACGGCAAAACGAACCGTAGGGCAAAGTGCATGAGTTCGGCAGGCTGTAGCGCAGGCCAGGAATGTCACAGTTCAAAACTGTTTTCGTCAAAAATTTGCCCCATTCATTGGGCTTCGAACGGGCCAGGTATCGCATGCATCGAACGTCGAACTGCGGAGCTATGTTCCTGAGGGCAAAATTTTCAAATTTGACCTTTCGTAGCCTGTATTTAGAAAACGGAAAGACTTTNCAGGTAAGCGCTTTCACTCTCGGTGCAGTGCACAGTATCTCTAGAAAATTTTGATGGCACACCCATGAGAATCGAACCACCTAATCAGAAAATATCGACCATCTCATGGACTCGGGAAAACGGCAACACGAACCGTAGGGCAAAGTGCCTGAGTTCGGCAGGCTGTAGCGCAGGCCGGGAATTTCACAGTTCAAAACTGTGTTCGTAAAAAATTCGTTCCCCATTCATTGGGCTTCGAACGAGCCAGGTATCGCATGCATCGGACGTCGAACTGCGGAGCTATGTTCCTGAGGGCAACATTTTCAAATTTGACCTTTCGTTGCCTGTAGTTAGAAAACGGACAGACTTTTCGACAAAATTCATTCACAGACGGATGTCCCGTCCCAGTCCGAATGTCATAGTACGTCTGCTGACACATTTGGTGCCGACAAGAAAGTCAAAATTTTTAAAAATTGTATTTTATTTTCCTTCGAAATTCAATTTTTTATATTCAGGACGGCACGGCACAACTAGTAGTAAAATAATTTTTACGGTATCTTTAATAGTTTGCCAAGCTATGGTCCCCTAAACGTTTAATTCCCGATTTCAAAAATAACACTAGGCCAAAGCTTTCGACAGCTATAACTTGCAAACGAAATCTCGTAGGGGGGCGCTTTTATTATTCCCGCAGAGCACACGATCTCTAGAAAATTTTGGTAACACTTCCATCGATATCGGACTTTTCGTTCGGAAGTTAGGGGTCATTGTGTGGACTCAGAGAAACGCTAAAAATAAAAATAGGGCAAATTGCGTGAATTTGGTCGGCTCTAACGCAGGCCAGGAATGTCACAGTTCCAAACCGTTTTCGTCGAAAACTTCTCTCACTTATTGGGCTTCGAACGAGCCATGTTTGGTATGTATGAAACGTCATGCTGCGGAGCTATGAATTTTCAAACGCCATCATGTCCGTGAGCGCAATATTTTCAAATTTGACCTTTCGAAGCCCGTAGCTGCGGAACGGTTGGACTTTTCTGAAAAATTCTTTCACAGACGGATGCCCCGGCTCAGTGCGCACATTATAGCATGTGTGCGGTCGAAATCCGCGCCGATCGAAAATTCAAAATTTTCAAAATTTTTAAAATTTTATTTTCTTTCGAAATTAAGTTTTTCCTGTTCGCGACGACGCGGGCCATCCGTTGGTGCAAGAATTTTTGCGCTATCTCTAATAGTTCGCCAGATACGTTCTACTAAAGGTTCAATTCTCGATTTAAAAAATAACACCGGCCCAAAGCTTTCGACAGCTATAACTTTTAAACGAAATCTCGCAGAGGGGCGCTTTTATTATCAACGAAGAGCACGGTATCTCTAGAAAATTTTGATATCACTCCCATCGATATCGGACCATTCTATCGGAAGTTATTCGTCATCTCGTGGACTCCGGAAAACGCTAAAAATAAAAATAGGGCAAATTGCGTGAATTTCGTCGGCTCTAGCCGACACCAGGAGTGCGACAGTTCCGAACTGCTTTCTTCAAAAACTTCCCACACTAATTGAGCTTCGAACGAGCCATGTTTGGTATGCATGAGACGTCAGGCTGCGGAGTTACGAATTTTCAAACGCGGCCATGTTCGTGAGCGCAATATTTTCAAATTTGACATTTCGAAGCCTGTAGTTTGAAAACGGTAGGACTTATCGGAAAAATTCTTTCACAGACGGATGCCCCGGCTCAGTGCGCACATTATAGCATGTGTGCGGTCGAANGCTGTCAAACCTACACTAGCAAGGAGATCGGGCTGAAACTATAGCTACAAGCTATCCAAGGATGGTACTATAGAATGTCACCTCAAGGTAGGCCTAGTGGCGTCATCTCTTGGTTAGGCCGGAAACTTATCAATCCACCCTCGTATTTTATATTTATTTACAGATTTGAAATTTACAGACCTTTTGCTTCTTCTGTCATTAAATTAAGATACAACCATTTAGAGAAAAAAATAATATAACTTGTAATTTTTCACAATACTTTTATTTTCCCACGACAACTGTTTCGCTAGCATAGTAGCTTTTTCAAGTGGATTGTTACACTGTTACATCAGTTTAAATCTCACGCGAAATAGGAAAACAATTCGTTTCAAACATGGAGAAGCTACTGTGTGGAAAAATTAAAATATTGTGAAAAATTACATGTCTATTGTTATTTTTTTATAATAAATTTTCACCAAGTAAATGCCGATTCCATCAACCATTTGAAAACCATTTAGAGATGCTCGAAAATTGTTTCTCTTGACCTTTAAGACGTTATTGATCAGATATCTATAACGATGAAAATGATTCTAAAAATGGAGAAGAATTTCCAGTTTAGTACTGCCGTAGTCGTTTATTTTTAGGGGTCCTACTCCGTCATCCTTGGTCTGATTGGAATGTTCTTTTATGGATTTAGGATAGGAACATTCTTGTCTCATAAAATTTCGAAACCAAAATCGGTTTAGTACATTCACAGAATTGCGAATTTCTGTTCGAAAATGATGCTGATGTCAACTTTACATCAGTTTAAATCTCGAGGGGAATAGGAAAACAATTCGCTTCAAACATGGAGCATTAAAAATTAAAACGTGTAATTTTTCGTTATTTTACACCGAAAGCCAAGGGGGATTGTCAGATTTTCTTCGCTTTTATTTTCTTATCTCGCTTTTATTATTCCCGCAGAGCACACGATCTCTAGAAAATTTTGGTAACACCCCATGGGAATCATACTATTTAATCAGAAAATAGGAGCATCTCGTGGACTCAGGAACACGATAAAACGAACAGTAGGGCAAATTGCATAATGTGGACTCGGGAAATGGATAAAACTGAGGATGAGACCTGAATTGTGTTGGCTCTAACGCAGACCAAGTCAATAAAATATTAGAACTCTTTTTGTCAATTATTTGCTGCATTTCTATTTGACGTCTGTACGTGTATCAGTAAATCAGGACTGAGGGTAGTGTTCTTCTTTTCCAGGTATAATAAAAGGCGATGAAATCATGGTAATAAATGGGGCGATCGTTTCCGACCTGGACATGATGTATTTGGAGAGCGTTCTACAAGAAGAGTTGTCCTTGTGCATGATGATGCGATCTTCGCGAACCGAACCACCGGAATTGACAGGGATCCTCAGGACGACCGATGACAACATCGAAAGTTTGGTTTGCCCTCCACCGCCCTCCGAGCCCCAGGTCATCAGTGAGGAAATGATCTCCGGTCTCATAGTTCCTGCCCCAGGTTGGAGTGAGTAATATTTAATGGTAGATGTCATTTAGATGTTGCATTCGTTCACATTTTCATAACACCACTCATTCATTATTATTATTATTAGCTACATTCGATACCAATGTGGGTCAAAGGTTAAAATCAATTAATGATCGAATATTACCATTTGTCCTAGCTTGAATTCAGCAGATTATGTAAATTATGTAAAGAAGTACGTAGAATGTCATAGTGGCAACGGTTTTCCAGTACAGTACCAAGTAGGTAGGTACTACTTTCTGACATAATTTTTGCTAAAATGTATAAAATACCATAAACCTAAAAAAGCTTTCTTGAAATTACTGAGAGATGATATTAATTAACTAAACTTATAAGTCATAATTATATAAAAAGGTACGCAGAAGTTCATGTTTCTAACGGTTTTTCAGTGCGGTATCAAATAGGGACTTTTAGACATAATTTTTGCTAAAATATATAAAATGACTTAAACGTAAAAAGCGCTCGTAAAATCTTATGGAGATAGAATGAATTTGAAACGCTGTAAGAAGTGATTATTATGTAAAAAAGTACGTAGAATCTCATGGTGGTAACGGTTTTTGAGTGCGGTGCCGAATAGGTACATTCCGGCATTATTTTTTCTAAAATATATAAAATGATTGAAACATAAAAAGTGCTCGTGAAATTATTTTTCGAGATAGGAACATATATAGCTAAGCTTTAATAAGTGATAATTATGTAAAAAAGTACGTAGAATCTCATGGAAGCAACAGTTTTCGAACATTAGTGATACAGTTATCTTACAAAAGATGGCTGTACAAGGTATTATAGCAAATTTTTATTTAGAATATGAATCAAAAGATGGCTTCAAAAACAACAATATAACACCTTTTTTTTAAGTCGTATTAAAAATCAAAAATAGCTAGCTTTAAATCACCTTCTCATTAATAACAAAACGATCAGTAATCTATTTAATTTACTACTAATTGTTTATCAATCAATTATTTTATGAGAGCATTCATATTGAAATCTATGAGTGTACTGTCATCTGACAAATTATTGTCATAATAAATAAATTATGGTGGTCAAAATGTCACAAATCCAAACGAAAGTTAAATAAATTTGTTTATCAAGCAGTTTTTTACAGCACATTACTCATCAAATATGACGGAAATTGAGGGGCCCATATTATACGTGATTGTTGTTGGTTTTCATCATAAAAAGGGCTGTCAGGTATTCTGTTCCCATTAAACATTAATATGTTTTTGTGATAACATGATCCTAACATTAGTTTATTGCTTCTAAGGTGGAATATTCATTCCCGCCCCTTGTGCCAGACGCCCCCAATGAATGTCCGGCTGGTTGGAAGTATCTGCCAACTCTTGCTTTACCTGATGGTTCCCATAATTATGAACAAGACACAGTTTATTTTCACCTACCCAGTCTTTCTAACCCTAAACATACAGTATATGGAATTTCATGTTTTAGACAAATTCCNTGTCGAATAGGTACTTTCGGACAATATTGTTACTAAACAAAGAAAGGGGCTCATGAAATTATTGGGAGATAGAAGATATTAACTAAGCTTTAAGATGTGGTAACTATGTAAAAAAGGACGTACAATCTCATAGTGACTTCGGTTTTCCGGTGCAGGACCTAATAAGTACTTTCTGACATAATTTTTCCTAAAATACATAAAGTACTATAAACATATAAAAGCTCTCGTGAAATTATTGGGAGCACTACTTCGAAAACACGCACCCCGCCCCCACCAGTGGCGTAGCGTGGGTGTCGGCTGCCCGGGACGGAAGAAAATTTTGCCGCCCTCTTATTTAGATATTTCAATGTAATATTTAATCAAAAGAAATAGCTAGTAAATGTAAAGAAAATCTTGCTTTACTGAAATTTTCCGTTTTTAAGATTTCATACGTTAATAAGAAAAACTGGAACCTTTATCTATCTTTACTTTCATCAAATCATTTCATTGCCCGTCTGTCTATCAAAACCTTTCTTCATAGGAACGAGTACTTACACATATTAAATTGAAATTTATATCGGTTTCCGGTCTAAATCTCTTTTAAATTTTTTATTTTATTGTTATACTTCGTCGCACCTAAAAAGTGCCGCCCCTGCCGCCCCACTACGCTACGCCACTGCTCCCCACTCTATTCCCGTTTGCTATCATAAAGCTTGGAATTTAGGCGAGTCTATCTATGCCTTCCATTGAAAAATTATTTATTCAAACTTATGGAAAATTGAAAGCTTGAACAAAATGGTTATTGGCAAGTTTGCCTTTATGAAGGATCGTAGGATTGCATTAACATTCAAACAAACATTTTCCGAACGTATACTTACATAGTTTAATCAGGAGCTACCACTGGCAGCAGTGAAATTGTAAAATAATCAAAATGATTTCACTAAAATCGAGTTCAAGGGGTATTTTAACATAAATCTAAAACATATTTTCTCATTTTCTTTCTCTAATTAAAATAATTAATTTGTTCAATTTCTAGAAAGATGTATCCATAATGCCTCACAAATTCACTTTATACGTATTTTATATTTATTTACAGATTTGAAATTTACAGACCTTTTGCTTCTTCTGTCATTAAATTAAGATACAACCATTTAGAGAAAAAAATAATACAACTTGTAATTTTTCACAATACTTTTATTTTCTCACGACAACTGTTTCGCTAGCATAGTAGCTTTTTTAAGTGGATTGTTACACTGTTACATCAGTTTAAATCTCACGCGAAATAGGAAAACAATTCGTTTCAAACATGGAAAAGCTACTGTGTGGAAAAATTAAAATATTGTGAAAAATTACATGTCTATTGTTATTTTTTTATAATAAATTTTCACCAAGTAAATGCCGATTCCATCAACCATTTGAAAACCATTTAGAGATGCTCGAAAATTGTTTCTCTTGACCTTTAAGACGTTATTGATCAGATATCTATAACGATGAAAATGATTCTAAAAATGGAGAAGAATTTCCAGTTTAGTACCGCCGTAGTCGTTTATTTTTAGGGGTCCTACTCCGTCATCCTTGGTCTGATTGGAATGTTCTTTTATGGATTTAGGATAGGAACATTCTTGTCTCATAAAATTTCGAAACCAAAATCGGTTTAGTACATTCACAGAATTGCGAATTTCTGTTCGAAAATGATGCTGATGTCAACTTTACATCAGTTTAAATCTCGAGGGGAATAGGAAAACAATTCGCTTCAAACATGGAGCATTAAAAATTAAAACGTGTAATTTTTCGTTATTTTACACCGAAAGCCAAGGGGGATTGTCAGATTTTCTTCGCTTTTATTTTCTTATCTCTTCCCTTATTTCTACTCGTAAATGAAATAACTTACAGATTTGCTACCAAACGGATTTTTTTTCAATAAACCAACGTTTCGCACATACATTAAGGTCTTTTCAGGATATTGCATTGTTAATAATATGACTAGCAATAATTGTAAATTTAAACTTTAATCAGACTTTCATTTAATTTTGATAAACCGTATTTTACGTTTTTAACTAAATTAAATTGAATATTAATTGAAACTAATTGAAAATTAATCAATTTAATTTAATTAGTCAGATTAATGAAAAAGTATAATTTTTATAATTTTGATTTAAATTTACATTACCTAGTCATAATGTGAAAATAGCTTGTAAGTCTCCACCATTATTAACAATTCAATTACTTCAATTACCTTGAAGATATCTTCACCTACGGACGAAACGTTTATTTATTAAGAATAAATACCATTTGTTACCTAAACGGGTTTTGAGTAAGTCGTATCATTAAATTATTTGTTTTCTACTTTTCTATATGTAAGAAACACTATTGTAAAGTTTATGTTGTCAACCATAATAAGGTAAAGTAGAATTTTATTTTTGAAATTATGAAATTTGTATAAATTTCCTTCATTCGTTTCAACTAAAAGGCAATCCATTAATTTTACCAGACAAAAATAAAAGCTCTTGCTTGCTTAGGGTCTGTTACATTTTTTTCATCGGTAAACCTTAACACGTACAGAAAGGCGTAGATGATTAACAGCAAAGTATGTACAGGTACCTGCCTAATTAAAAAATAAGTTCGGGAAAAAAGTTGATTAATAAATTTAATGAAAGGTCCGTTTTTCCACAAAGGCAGTAAACCATCTAGTTAAGTCGAAAATTTTTAGAAATAAATTAAGCCTCACTGGTTACCGCTTCACTTTTAGAAACCAACCCCTGGGACGTAATGGACGTAAAATTCCCAAACTTTTAATGAACGATTTTCCAGCACAAAAGTAATACCTAATTGAAATGAGCAAGACTTTTTCTAATTCAAACTCATATTTTACATTAGTAACTCAGTCGTACAGTACTTATATAACTAAGCGCAAAATATTGTAAAAATCAGAAATGAAAGTCGGTGAAATACCTAAAACTTTAGTACCTACTTTCACATTGGCTAATAAGAGTTCTGCTAGACATTAAAAAAATATAAAGGAAATTACAATTAACAGTCACTAAACTACGATCAAGATTTTGCGAAGATTTTGAACTGCATCTGACTCTAGATGTGTAGATGATGCGAATATAAGTTTGTTTGTTTGTTATGATTTCACGTAATACAGTAGATATTCCGAAAATAGCATACCATTCATTTGTGCAGACTTTATTATTCGTTATAAAAAAATTATCCAGTTTTTTATCAAGGATCCGCAAAGTTTGGTGTAAACGGGTATATTATGGTATATAACGGCAAGAGTCCATAAAAATTATTTCAAAGTATTGATGTTATTTTTCAATATATATATCTACCTTCCTTCCTATCATTATATCCGCTTTAGTTGAAAACAATTAAAATTTAGTACAGTTGATTAGCCTTCTTTTGCAAGACAGCGTCTTTAATATTCCTAGAACATAACAAATTGATCGGATATTCTTGTTAAAGGGTTTTGAAATCGTTACGCAAACTTCTGTTCGTTAAACCGGAATATATACAAAATCCATTTGGATTAAAACGCTAAGCCAACTGTGTTCCCAACTTAACAGCTTTTTCCTTTTAATAAAAGAATATTGAGTTTATCAAACAAACAAGCAAACAAAGAACTGCGCTCGATTTGACAAAGAAATGCACATTATTTGTAACTAAGAAAAAAGATGTACTGAAACATTTAAAATCTACGTATTAATAGGTACATATAACCAGAAGTAGCATAATAACAAAATAGCTATCAGAAAAGTATCAAAGAGACGCTCCCATATGTCACAAACTATTTTTAAAAACGATCACGTCTATTTCGCACACTTCGATTGTGAACAATTTCAATGCGAAACTGATGGTTTTTGATAACGCTTATAATGAAAGTTATCGAAACACGTGTCAGCTTTGAAAAAAGCATGTGTGGTAAATCTGTTTCTATTTACTATTACCACAATCTCCTTTCCTATTGCTTTTTAACTATAAAATATTCACAGTGTCATAATGGAGCAAATCTATAGCTATGTTTATTTTGAGATATAACTTCAGCGACTTTAATGTAATATTGAAAGTGGAATATACAATTTAGAATGACTTGTCAACAATTTAACCTTAGTTAAATAATAACCTAACAGTATCGTAATATTAATCCTAGCCTACCTTATTAGATAATTGACAAACGTAGAAATGACAGGGAATCACAGGCTGAGTGAAAACGGTAAGCCGCTTCACCACCCTGCATCTTCGTGATTATGAATTCTATTTCCGACTTTCGACTCGATTCCTCTATTATTATTAATTCCGCTATTTAAATTGTCGCAGTTTTAAATAAACAATTTAGATGTACCAACTTAGTATCAGTGACCTAAATAAGAATTTATGGATACTATGTAACAACAGAAACTATTTCTTACGCCAGTATAAATAAAAAAGGATCAGTCAAATGCGAGTTTGAGTTTACCTTGTAACTGTAAAAGTTTGAAAAACAGTAATTTCGTTAGTGCTGGATGGAAAAAGCGACAATAACGTGGAACAATGATTAGCGCGGGGTTGAGTTGAGAAATGACTTCTGTGCTCGCTAACGATCAATTTGAAATTTTCAAAAAACTACACTAAGCGTGTATGTTTAAATCAAAGCAACCAACTACAGATAAACTGATAAATTGGTAAAATTAAGCAAGGCATTATAGTTCCTATTTAAGGTGAAATTCTTGTTTGCTCATATTTTTCGGAGTTGCTACCAATTTTTTTAATATGCTGTAAAATATAAAAACGAATTCATTTAAATTAAATCCCCAATTTATAAAATTATATGAAGGATGAAGTGCAATGGTTTTTGATTGATTAGTCTAAATTCGTATTGCGTCGCAGTAACGAATGAAGTTTTTCGGTAATAATAATACTTTTTTTTAAGTTTTGTTTTGCAAATTAATTTTGTTTACGTGGCTTTGACTTTTTAAATTAAAAATAACAGTAGTAGATACCCAAGTACTCATAAATTCCAAAGTCCGTACGGTACCATTACTATTTAAGAACATTTTGCATGAAAATTGCTTCGCAGTCGTAACTCCCGAGAGACTGGCTATTAGTAATGTCAATTTGAAAAGCTCAATTTACTTGACACCCATGGGACTTCCACTCAACATAAAATTCAAACTTCCAGGTGACCTACAGGGGTCCCCCTTAAGCGGTTGAAAGGTTATTCACTATTTACAGAAACCCCTGTACAGTTCTACATCACCGCCAACAAGCGATTTATAACAACTTACGACAGGTGGAAATAATAAAAGCAACTTTACTAAATTTCCAACAAAAGCGAGACCTGGTTTCCGCAAGAAAGCACATTTTCCAAAGAAACTTTTCCTCGATTACAATCTCTCACGTTTCGACCATATACGTTTACATTATGTGTTTCTTGTGATTAATTAATCACGTTCAAACAAATTTGTATGCAAGCACAAACATGCGTCCTAAATTCATATGGCATCGCGTATTATAGATACAATACTCAACAAAACAATACAACCCTAATATTAGATAGTATTAGTCATCTATAATCGAATGCTACGCCGAAATCAAAAACCGTAGGCGCATCAGAACATACACGCGCAATAACACAATTAATCATTTGTAAACGAGATGTACCACACAATTTCCACGTTTCAAATTCAAATAAGCTAAGAAAATTCCATTGCTTATCAGATGCAATGTTGATTTCAAGGCTTGTACCTAATTTGGTTCATTTTTATGTCATGATTTTTTTGCGGAACATTTTGAATTTCGCTTAAAAGATAAAACTGTTATTGGAACTTGGAACGTTTATCTTTTTTTTTTTTATATTATTCTGTACTCATTCTGATATTACAAATATTCGCATTCACAACCACAACCGCGGAGCATCCGCGAATCTTTTGGGGACGCGGATGTCATTTGTATAGGTCGCAATAAGAAATTATAGGCGAAGCCACACATTTAAACATCTAACAATCATAATAAGATACAAAGTGTTCAGACATACAAGATAAATGTATGAATATCTAGTATTCTTTCTATTCAGTATTCGTTAAGCATTTACGTATATAGATAAATATCTATTCGACTTTTACCCAAACACTTTCAATTAAACAAACTGTATAATAACGATTGTTATAATACTTTTTCTTTCGTATTAATTTACTGTCATATACGAATAGTAGTCGAACAGTATGGTGTATGCTTTTGTAAGTACCTACTGAAAGATTTTAAGTAACCCCCATGTATTTCTACAAGTATAGAAAGTGTTAATGCAAAGCAAGTTTAATTTCTTAACGGAAGTTATATTTCAATTTACTGATGATGTAAACACAACTTGACGACAATTTTGCAATTTTTGTTTCTTTCGTGATATTCCACCACGAATAGGCCATCTATTCATGAATCTATAGAAATTTACTTCTAATTCAAAGAAGTTAAAACTAAAAATTTACAATCGTCAAAGTAATAACACTGTGCATACATAAGTATCATTCCATATACAATATTATAATAATACATAAAAAATTAGAACATACATTACCAACTCTATTTGCAAAACATGTGTTACATCTTCGTATTTTCATTAGAAATGTAGGTAAATAGTATAGCAAGCGGGATTTATAAATAGTGTCGATGGCCTGTCGATCAACATCTTACCACTGTTTGGTCTTCAGAACCTCTTTCTAGAGAAGAAGTTAGAACACACCCCTTTTCTTAACAATACTAGAAGCTCTTGTTAAATGTCTACCACTTTTTGGTCTTCAACAAGAGTTTCTGGTACTGTTGGCAAAAGAAGCAGCTCTTCAGCTGAAGAATTACCTAGAAAGTCGTTTTAAAGGCCAAAAAGTGGTAACATGTTCATTGATATTGATTTTAAATCCCACCTACTTTACTACTAATTAAGTGCTTATAGGAAATTAAAATTCCATGAAGTAATGTAGAAAAGTCCTAGAAGAAGTTTAAAAGTAATCTACAACTCTAGAGGACCACAGTAAAGCGTCAACCTTTTCTTCACATTTCAAATGTTTCTTTGTAAATGTTCATGTCATTCATTGCTTTATCGCTAGCTCATCATTCCATTTCATCACGTAACAGGTAAAGAACCTCAACCGTCGTACTCTACAGAATCGGATAACGTTTCCACGTCCCTTACGGCCGACGGCGGGATCAAGTTCAGCTCGAGAACAAACTCTTTCGAAATCGAAAACTTGCTCAAAACCGCGGAACAAGTGACGGGATTTTGTCGATCGCCGGTCGAAACCAGAAAGTCAAGCCCTACGGGCAGCATTGTCAGCAACACATCACAAGCACACACTCGGCAACTAACCGACGCGGAAAAACTAAGAAAAGTCATCCTAGAACTGATTGAGACCGAAAGGACATACGTAAAGGTAAGCGTTTATTTAATAACGATTAAAGATTTAAAAAGAATTTAATTTATCTTTACTAATGGTTTCTGTTTTGACATAAAATACTTGAAGAACCCTGAATAGCAATGACGAAACATTTTAAAAATAAAGGTATTGAAATTTTCATATGTAATTCATATTCAAATATTTAATCCAAATTTCATTCACACTTCTGAACATTAAATTATTGACTTCCATAGGTGATTTTTTTTCAAATTAGTTTNAACGCCATCTGTAGTACGATGCTACATTTTAGGATTACGTATGCTCCAACAAGGTCTATTTAAAAATATGGATATCTACTTGCTGAAACGAATCCCGGCGTAGCTAACCTCAACGTGATAGGCACGTTACCATAATCGAACAAAATTTTATTTTATTAAATTATTGTCTTCTATATGTGATTTTTTTTCATATTAGTATCAAGTATGAGTGAACATGAATCTCAGGGAAAATAATTCAAATCTTATTCTTGGTCAAAATGTCTTACTTAAGTACATCTAGATTAGTAAATATTCTGACAATCATACTTAACAAGTGAGAATAGTAGCATAAACGGGAACTAAGGTCACTGTACCCTACACTAAATAAATAAAATTTTAACAGCAATTATTACCACCATGTAATGTGGCTTCTAGGGTGTATAATATCATAAATGACAGTACACCAAAATATTTCGTAGTTTTCAGTTTTACAGAGCTGGCGTATATCAATTTGATATTGTTTTGCGGGCTGCTTTGTAGTAATTCATAGAATTTCGTAGTTTCATGCTAAAAGTAGGATAAGTGGTGATTTGGCAGGTGATGATATCAATTTGGAACTTCAAAATTCTATGGACCATGAAATTGAACCCAGAAAACAATATCGATCCAGTATTTTAGATTATCCATATTAAAGGAGTTTAGAATTTTTTGAGCTCTCTTCAGTTAATTAATTAGAAGACTCATGAAATATCTCTTGGTCCCCTTTTTAAACTTCTAATACATTCAATGGCCAATGTGAGCAACTTTCATTCATCATTTTATAAAGTTTGATCGATGATACTTGCAAAACTATTAACAGCAAAAGTGCATTTTGCATTTTACAAATAGAAAATACGTTTGAAAAATTACTTTAAATGAAATACAAAATGACTTCTAGTTTTTGCACGTAAAAAAATCGAGAATGCTAGGAGCAGTATAGACGACTGTCGTGCACATTATTTTTTCATTTATAATTTCAATTAAGCAAAGTTATTCACATAAAAAGAAGCTTTCAGCAGGAAAGAATTGAAGAGCACATAAAAATTCACGTAATTTTACGTCGTCAGTTACGACAGAGTTGTAATTTTTTTATCAAAAAATGATTTAACAGATTTTACTGGGTAACTTTTGAACGAGAGGAAGATAATTTAAAAAAAAATATTGCCAAACCTGATATGAAAATTCAACCGTTAATACATTTTCAAAGCTGACATTCTCATATTACCAAATTAATTCATCTCTTTTTATATCGATATCAAATCCCACATTTTTCGTTTTTTTATGTGATATAAAAAAGTCAAGGTTAAATATTGGCAGGTTTCCTTTCATCCCCTTTTCGTTAAAAAAATCTCATTGGAATTTAACCTCGACAACAATAGGGTCTGATAAAAACGAAATCCGTATTTTGCATGTACATATACGAATGAATATATTATATGTTTGTATAGATACATTTATTCTTCCTGTCGATTTAACCAAAATTTTATTAAAAACAGAAAGGATTCGTGGCTACAGAAAAGGAAGTTACATTTCCTTTGAGAATATATTCGCAATAATTCATCGACTGAGTGCCTGCATAAATACCCCCTTCCTTTATATTTCAGCATTTAAATAATCTTCTAGAGAATTATCTGGAACCACTTAAGAAAGAAACATTCCTATCAAATGCGGAAATCAACGCGCTATTTGGTAACATTCAAGAAATCGTAGCATTCCAAAGACAGTTCCTACAAAGTTTGGAGGAAGCGTTAGAATTAGAACCTGACTTTCACAAATTCGATCATCCTAGTCAATTCAAGGTAAGAATTATTTACTTTCGTTCGTAGTCACGACATTCTTTAGAAAGTAAACGCAAAAGATTAAACTGATGTATTAGTTTGAGACGTACCGAATACCAACTTTACCGAATGCACTTGCGCACTTTGTCAACTGATTAATTGTTTCATTATTTATAAATTGAATTTGCGAATAATGTACCCAAGGGAAAACAGGATTGAGTAAATTGCTAAAGCTTTCTGTACAAATGCGATAGAGCATGTGGAAGCAGTAGAGCGACAAACAGACTCGGAAGAGTAACTTTTGAAAGCTAAGAAAGGCCACAATCATGTTTAGATAATGCTGTTTCGTCTCTGAAAATTCGCAATCCGAAAACTGCAAAGCAAAAGAAAGTACCTACCTACGCTCGGGACTGAACTGCGACTGTAATCTTTTACCTATACGACTCAAATCAGCAATTTAGATTTCTATTTTCAATAAAGTTACCGTTGAAATCGCTATCTCGAAAATAAGGGCATATATATGTCAAAAGGAAATAATATTTCTAATACTTCTGTTCATTACAAAAGGAATGATCCCCTAATCAGATAATTAGCATCAGATTAATAAATTAAAATGAAATACTCGGAAAATTGTCTCCAAAATTCTTTTTCGTAGATCCATTAAATAAACGTAAAGGTAAGCGTTTATT